TGAGAACTTACATCCCTATTTTCCTGCTGGAATCTTGCCTTTTCCAAAAGCCCACCCCACCCCAAATCCTGTGCCCATAAAAACCCCAGGTTCAGCTGCCGGAGGGAGGAGAAGCAGCTGAATGTTGGCGAGAAGCAGCTTGACTTCACAAGGACAGGTTTGACAGCACAGCTTCCTACTCCATCCCCTTTTCAGCTCCCTGTCCCATTGAGAGCCACTTTCGACAGCAATAATATCCTCTGCATTCACCACTCTTCGATTTGTTCGCACTACCTGATTTTTCCTGGACACCAAACAAGAGCTAGGGTGCTATAGGTGCAGACACTAAAGGCTGTCACACTGACCTTCTGCCCTTGCTGGTGGAGAGCAGCTACCTCCCACGAGAAGGCAGAGGGCCCACTGAGCTGTGTGATACTTAAGCCGTCTGTGGACAGCATCACAGGTTCTCCCCTCTAGATGCTACCACGGGCCACACAAAGATTTGCCCCTGCTGGTACCTGAAAGCCCTTGCCCTGATTCCTGCATCCACTCACCTGTGTGTTCCCTCCCACAGGGGATTGAGAGCGATGGCTTCAAGTGAATGGAGTTCACCCCTGCCAGGGCTGAAGCAGCTGGCTAGCTCCAACAGCTGCACCCCAGTTCCCACCTGCAAAGGAGTCAGGGAAGTTTCCTGCTTCACTATCATCTCCCCCTAGATTTCAGCCAACAAAGACACTTGGTTTACCGGCATTCACAGAAAAGTATTTTCATTCCCTTGTTCTTTCTCATCTTCTATTTTGTCCTTCCTTTAGTCATTACGTTTATTCCCCTGCCCCTCCCCTTGTTGCCGTTTATTGTGTCTGGAAGGGAGGCACAGAGATGCTTAAGTAGAGGTTTTTAGATTTTTTGTTTTTTTTGCCACATCTCCTGTATAACAAGAATGTTTCCTCAAAGCCTTGAGTGAAATATCCATTTCTCAGAAATGCTTTGTGGAATTGGCTCTGGTTTTTTGGCCAGATTCCCAGTGGGTGTGGGCCTGGAACAGGAGCTGCCCTTGGGGGTCTGCTGTGCAGATGAAGGATGTGCATGGATTCTCGGCCTCCCTGCTAAGGCCTGACTGGCCGACAGCTCTCGTTCTCTCCCCAGGGCTTAGTGGTGGAAATTCGAAGCTGGGAGCGGAAGGGCCAGCAAAGAGATGAGTAATGACATGGAAACTCTGAAACTGCGAAGCCTTGCCAGGACTGACGTCCCGCAGTTGTTTTCTGCAGTCCTTCCAATCAGCCCAAAAGAGCACTGGAGATCCCAGAACTGTCATCCCATTTGGTTTTACCTGTCAGCCTTCTCACTGTTTAAGGTGTTTTCCCTATAAAAACACATGGCAATTAATACACACACACACACACACACACACACACACACACACACACACACACAATGGCTTCCTGGGCTGGGCTTGGGCTCCCCAAAAGGGGGAAGCCTGACAGCCCTCGCTAATGAGGATTGGTGCAATCAAAGGTTGTGTCCTCAAACTCCAGGGCACTGGTGGAGAGGGTTTGGGTGGTTAGTCACCCAAAGCAAAACCAAAGCAAAACCAAAACAGAACACGTGCACTGGGCATTTTGTCCCTTCAGACAGTCTGCGGTAAGGTGAACCTTTTGGGACATCCTGGGCTATGTGTAAGGCTGCCCCTCAGAAGCAGTACTGTGGCTGGGCGGGTAGGGGGGAGGGTGGCACTCAGAGCCTTGCGTGTGATTCCTGCCTCTCCCCTTTGCAGCTCTGTGACCTTGAGCCAATCACTCCAGCTCCCTATGCCTCAGGTCCTCATCTGTAAAATGAGGCCAAGAAGAATCTCTGCTTCATAGGCATATTGTGAGAATGAAATGAACCAATTCCCATCAAGCCTTTAGAACCACCCGCTCAGGGACCCCACCAAAGATCCTTAAGCACTGCATGTAAATTTAGGTTAAATACCAGAGGGGAGAGAGAGGAGGCATGGCTTCTTCTTAAAAAGAGAAAGATTGCATGTTCCTGTAGTCACAACTACTCGAGAGGTTGAGGTCTGGGAGTTTGAGACCAGCCTGGACACCACAGCAAGACTCCTCCATCTCCTTAAAAAAATTAATTTTTTTTCAAGGAGAAATAGCTTTCAAACATAGAGGTGGTATGAAAGGGGAAACGCTCTCTAGCACCTATTACTGAAATAGAGGTGCTGCTCATGGCTCCCACAGATAAAAGCATGAGGGTATGGCTTACCCTTCATCCCCCATCGAGGGAGCAGAAGAGAGGGTGCTGGGAGGGTTTGTAAAGCTGCTTTAATAGTTTCCTTTTCTAGTATAACTGCTCATTTGTGTAAGTTACACTTGGATTTGGAAGAGCCTATATAATATTGAAAGACCAGGAAAGTCATGGCGAAACATCTGTAGGGACTTGCGCTTGAATAGGTAACCCGAGTGCCGTTTCAGAAGGTGCTGCCTGGGTCTAGGGGTGCCGTACCTCACGTACGAAACTTAGACACAGCAGCTTTGCCTGGTTCTCTGTCTCTCCCCTAACTCTTGCACACATACTCTCCTGGCCCACATCAGTAGCAACCTAACACAAAGGACTTTTGTTGTGTGTAATTATTTATAAAGCTGGCCCATTTCCATCATGAATAATCATGATAGTGGGGGTGAAGGAGAAAGGGTAATGCCACATTTGAAACTGCTAAAAGGCTATGATTCATTTTCGGTCTCTTTTATTAAGAAGCCTATCTCAGATAATTTGCAGCAAAGTTTTACCCTGGAGCAAGTTTCCTCAGTCATGTTAAATTCATGGGGAAAATCCTCCTAGGATTTAGAACTGAAAAATAGCTTTAATAACGGAAACGCTCATGTAAAGAGCAGGGAAAGGCAGCATGTTCTAACCATTTAGGGAAAAAATGGGTAAGATGTTACTAATAAGCTGTGCTGTATTTTTATCCTACCGTTTTCTTCATCTGAAGGAATGTAGAGACGAGCTTTTAAATTCTGAATGATTACCTGACAGCTCCAGTCTCTAGGGCACATTACTAGCAATCGTTTCATTTTGCTATTACCTTTACTAAAAACTCAGAGGACACACGCTCAGCAGAGCCAGGGCGAGGCAGTAAGATCTATGGCCAAGAGACACGAATGCGGTGAACAGAACTGAGGAACCCAGCACTTCTGGATTCCCTTTCGTGACCTTTGTGGACACTGACCTTATCAGTAGGGCTGGGAGTAGGGGTTACCAGGCCTCTAGCACCTTCCTGGATAAGACCCCAGCCTAACTTCCCAGTCCCATCTCCTGTTATTCCATCCCAACCCATCCAACCACATATCCTGTATTTTAGTTATGCCAAACTGCCCATGGGTCCCCAAATACGCTACATGTTTGAACTGGCTCTTTCTACCCACCTGTCATACCACCAGCTGGGTTTTCTAATTGTTAACTTCCAACTTTGCCACTCCCTTCCTTCTCCAGTAGCTTCAAGTACTTTTCCTAAGGTTTTCTTTTCATCTGCTTATGTATGTGACCCCCACATCCCCTATATTCCAATCCTACCACCCCAAAACATAGATAAGAGACTAGGTGAAGTGATCTCAGTTAGAACCAATACCCTAAATGTTTTCAAATTTTCTTGAAAAAAAAAAAAAGACTATATTTTCAAGGATTATTTCTCTAGTTTGCTACTAGAGAAATTTCTCTGAATTTGTAGAGCACTGAAATTATTAAAAAAAAAAAAAAATTCCAGGTAGGAGCAAATTTGATACCAACTGTGACGTTATCCCTTGCTTATTTCTTTGAAATGAAAGAAAATTAGCTTAATGAATTAAATGACAATAATGATGACAATACACACATCCATGTTTGCTTTAAAGTCTTTATTATCCTGAATATAAAAGACAGAGTCCTCTAGGATATAACAGAGTTCTTTACGTGGAAACATTTTTTTACAAGTGAAAAAATAAATACCTCTTGGAATAAAGGCTTATATGCTAATATGTGCCATAAAAAAGTAGAGTTTTAATATTTGACAAAATGTCTGTGCAAAGAAACAAATGCATAAACACATTACTGCTACATTAAGGCAATATGAAAAGTATACTCAGAAATCTCAGTAAAGTGACAGTGTAGGTTTCTAGCTTTACCTTAGCTAGTATTGCACCCGATAAGGTCATCTAGGTCTCCCGACAGCCCAGAAAACCTGCTAGCTGACCAGCTTCCAAAATGCCCACGTGGGAGTGGAAAACATGTTTAAGAACACAGAAGCAAAAAGAACCAAAGCCTCTCCAAAACATACAGAGGGGACAGCCCAAAGTTAATACTTAAGCAGTTACTTTAAACAAACACAACAAAACCCAAGAAACACAGAAAAGGACACAATACCTAAATACTTCTGGTAAGGCTGTAAAGGGCTTGACAGTTCCAGTGAAGCGACACCAATGGGTGAAGCTGGGATGGAGTGCCTGGGAGAAGTGATGAGTTAACCACCCTCAGTTGCACACCATGAGGCTCCGTCTCTCACTCAGCGAGCTCTGCTTTCTCTTCCCAAGGAGACTGCTCTCTGTTTTCAGTCTGAAATCAAATATTCCACCAGCTCAGAAGGTCCAGGGAGACCTTGACTACTCCACGGTAATCTTATAACCAAATTGGTAGCATTTTATAATCGAAAGTCTTGGGTGGGGGTTGTGATGGGGGAGTGAAAAGGAATAGGGAGCCACCATATTGAGTGAGCTGCTTTTTACTAGCCAGACTGGTTTAAATATGACAACATTGTCAACTTTTTAATAGTCACAGAATTGATTTTTTTTTTTTTTTTTTCTTTTTGAGATGGAATCTGGCCCTTTCTCCCAGGCTGGAGTGCAATGGTGAGATCTCGGCTCACTGTAACCTCTGCCTCCCAGGTTCAAGCGATTCTCCTGCCTCAGCCTCTGAGAACTGATTTTTACATCTTTTTGCATTTCAATCATTCTTGATCAAGTTATAAAGACAGAATGACATCAAAATGACAATGATTTAAGAAAAATTTTCCTATTAAAAATGTTTGGAGCTCCACGACCGTATAAAAAGAACCAAATTCTTAAATATAATTCTTACAAAATCTGCTGCCGGTAGGAAACTTACCTCGGGATACATCATTTCCTAAAAGGTACCCAACTTTTTTTTGGCTATGTTGCCACTTCACTGACATCAAAGACTTTACCTATTCCTTTACTTGATCATAAAAAAATCAATATCCAAGGAACGTGTCCGCGTCCCAGAGCTCCTCCTGGTCCCCACCACTGGAGTTGTTGATTCTACACATGGATATGTTTTTGCAGTGAGGAGTAGCTGTGTTATTTTTCTTCCTTTTTTTTTTTTTTTAAACATCGTGTGGCAGATGGGTGGTGGAGTAATTACTTTCGCCACAATCTATCATTTTTATAATTTATAATAGTGCAGTTCATGGAAACATGGCAAGTCCAATAAAAGCACAACAGATTAGATTACAGTCAGATTGAGAAGACTGGTGTGGGTTGGCAGATAGACGTGCTGGACGTGCTCCACACGCGACCTGCAGACGGGACATGACTGGAAAAGAAAAGCCAACAGGCTCTGTTAGCATGAAAGCCTTGGTGGGGGGCTTGTGTCTCTGCGCACACCCGGGTCTCTAGTGCATTTTGTGTTCTAAATAAATTGTGATCACAGTGATTTCTGGCTTTCAATTGGTAGAGATCTTTCCTGTCTCACAAGTTTGAAAGTTTATACTTTACAAGGGCTTAAAAATAAATATTATGAAATTGTATAAACTGAAGGAAATCAATCACACTTTTAGTCAAACCCTAAATAAGTCACACTAAGTAAAGCAATTACCGAAGATGTCTTTCTGTGCAGAATGTGGTCTCTATGTGAGTAGATTATAACCCTTCAGGCAGCAATGCAGGAGACCCTTGTTGAAATTGTGTGTCCTTAGCTCAGCTGATTGACTCAGGCCAACATTTCTGGGCTGATGCCCGCATGGCCAGGGAGGGTGGCTCTGCTCCTAGCCATAGGTGGCAGCCCCACATTCCTGGCTGGCTTCTCAGAAAGTCCGGGCTCATCATCAGCCCTCAGGAGAGACTTAGGGATGAGAGCCGGAATAGGTGGGCAGGAAAAGACAAGCCCATGACTGCCTCTGCAGAGAGGACACAGGCGGTGTTTGGTTTTACTAGCTCTGAAATTAACAGCTTCTGAAAGACTAAGTATTACTTAGGACCAGTTGTACATAAAACCATAGTGACATTTTGCAAACACTTCTGAGAAATAAAAACCAATTGAAAAAACTAGTATATGAGGAAATTAAAAATTCCTCTTCATGCAAGAAAGGGAAAGAAAACTCTATGTGAGTTCCGCTTTTTCTTTGTTGTTAATATTAAAATTAGTTTGACTTGCTATTAAATAATAGGCAACCCATACGCCCTTGAGGCATATGCAGTCATAAAAGGAAATTAATCAGCAATACCAGAGTCAACAACCCATCTATGGATAATTGAGAAGTATTCTTTCCCAAATGTTTTAAGTAATAAAGACCATCCTCCTAAGTGTGAGAAAATGGGAGGTAACTTGAAATGGAGGAAGCAGGCATGGGCTAGGTCTCAGGAGCCTGGATTCTAGTCCTCGGGTTGGCTGCTAACTAGATATGTTACCCAGGAATCTGAGCCTCATTTCCAGAACTTGGAAAAAAAGATGTAATTTGGAGTAATTATGTTGTTGAAAATAGTACGCTAATCTAAAATGTTTATAAAGGGCAGTATCTTTTAAGTCACCAAATACAAAGCCCCTTTCCGGGTGAAGATGGGCATTCCTGTCTGTGCATGAGCGAGCCAGTACCTGGCACCTACTCCCCATTAAGAGGAGGGACAGGTGAGGCTGCAGGCAAAAGCAAAGCAGGCAGCTGACTCCCGTACCTGCAGCTGGGCGGCGCAGCTCTCGCAGCACACGGTGTGGCCGCAGGGACAGAAGGTGGAGTTGATCTCCTCCTCGCAGCATACCATGCACAGCATGGCTTCCTTCAGCTTGCGCAGCTTCTCCTGCAGCGCCCGGGTCTGCTGGCAGCTGAGGCCCTCACAGCTGCTGCAGTTCATGCTGCTTTCTGAGGACTTGAGGGGCGAGCTTGAAGGGCTCTGGTTGCTTCTTGAAACGAGGTCCACAACACCAGCATTGTACAGAGCCCTCCTGGCATGGTCATACACCTCCTTTGATGTTCTTTTAATGTCAAAGACATACTTCTTGCCAAGGTTAATGTTTTCATTCAAAAACAGAGATGCCAAGTGGCCCTTCAAGTCACGACTATACTGCATCATGACGGCGCTGGTCACCGTGTCACACCTGCGAGGCAAGATTGAACATCTACTTTAACACCGAAGAGCCCAGCAGTCCTCTAATCCACTGTTGTCAATAAGAACAGAAATGTCAGCAGATGTTCCATATTCTTGGCTGCATGTGTGAAAGTAAGTCCTTCCAGTTTTACGTATGGTAAATATCTCAGTGACTACCCCTCTGTTTCTCTAACAGCTCCTAACGTCACGGCTTTGTTAAAGCAGCTGTAAATACAGAGGGCAGTGAGCATGTAGCTCCTCCCTCGGACAGAAGCTACAGAGTCAAGTTGCTTATGGAAGAAAAAGGACACCTGCTTTGAAGTCTTGGCTTTTACGTTAGAAATCTCTCCAAATTTTCCATTCTTGTTCTACGATTTGCGCATCTGCTTTAACATAAAAAGGTTTCAAGTTGCCTACAACTTAAATTTCTTAGCTTTAATTGTCTGAATACCTGAGTCCAATCACAACTTGGCTTCAAAGTACCTTCTGAAATGAGGGAATCAATTATTAAAAAATCCTTTCATACGCAGTGAGAACTCAGGATAGCAGCTCTGCCAGAATGAAAAGTTGACCTGTGCTATCCTTCTCCTGGGCAGCAGAGCAGGCCCAACCACTCAGGGTTACCTTTAGGGTGGTCAAACTTGGCTTTGAACTGAGTTCTAGACAAAGCAAATATTTATCCTCCCAGTTCCCTCATCTTCATTAGGGTAATAATACTTAACCTCTTAGGGTTGTCGTATTGATCAAATATGCATAGAAAACTCCTAACACAGTTTGTTTCTGGATCAATGGCATAAGAACATACGGTAGGAGGTAAACAGAGAATGTCTTTGTGTGGCTCACACACATGCACTTTCTGTGGGTAAAACAAGACTACATTAATAAGGACCTCACTGCTACTACAGAAACAAAATTCCCAGAATATCTTAAAGTCTGTACTAGACTCATTGACACAACGATTCAAGGAACCGTAGAAACCTGGCTGTCACCTAAAAACCTTAGAGCTGCGGTGCTGAGGTGACCAAGCACACGGGATACATGCCTGTAGAACGCGTGTGTCTCTGTGATTGCTCGGTACAGTCCGCTGGCTGCCCTGGTGCTGATCATTTTAAACAAGAGCACGATGCTGTTCCCAGACTCCTTGGTGACTGTCAAGTATACATTCTTTCCTGACTGGGTGGCCATCTGCACCACAGGATAAGCTATCCTAAGAGACAAGAAGAGAAAAGAAAGCAGATCTAGAAGGAGTAACTCTTCACCATGTGTGTGCCGTTGTGGGATCCCCGTTTGCTCATGACCCAGCAGAAAAATCAAGACACCTCTTCTAGGGCTAGCCCATCACCATGATGCTGCCTGGTCATAAAGGTGCAGTGGAAAGCAGTTGGCCATATGTGGCGGGAAGTGCGGGAACAAGTGTTGCATGTGCCCACATGCATGTCTAGAGATGAAAACAAGTTTTTTATGGCAGTAAATGGGTTATTATTTGGAAAATGTTAACTCTGCCACATTGTACGCCTTGAATTAACATTTAAAATGGTTATTCAGGCCTGGATAAAATTAATGTATATATCAAAATGAAACCTGTTATTCCTAAGAGCTGACTGTTGAGTAAATCCCTTCCTACTTTCTATTATGTTGAGAGCTACAGAAGTATACACATGCCTAGGTCAAAACCAAGTAAGTCTTGGCTTACCTATTAATTGGGCTAAAGTCATCTTTACAAATTGAGATTCCTTCAGGTCCAACCCCAATGAGCAGTTTCTGCCCTTCGCTATCCCGCACGGAATGCCATTCTATGCCATAGTTTTCCATTGCTGACACAATCTGCAAAACCTGGTACTCAGCTGAAGCCTGGCTGGTCCCCTCCAAGTCCTTATGTTTTGCAACAATGCTGGAGGACACCAAAAGGACAGAGAATTAATTACACAGATATTAACTTTAGACATAAACCTATGTAGTCTTCACTAGTGAAATTCACTAACACCGATGAATCACAACAACTTAAAACTTATGCATGACTGATGTTTCATTTATTTGACAAACTTACTGTAAAGAACGTCTAAGACACTGAGATCTCAACCATTAAATATTTGGTAAAAACGCTTTGGGCATGCTGGATGGGTGATGAATTGGAAGAACTATGGAAAGCCTCTAAAAATATACATAAGTCAAATGTATATGTTGGAAAGTCTCATACATTTGTCCACATATACTTTATAAGTATAAAGTTGAGCCCTGAGGCCCCTGTGGCCAGGGAAGGAGGATGACCAACAAACCACAGAAGTCAACCTGGCATGGAGGCAACCCTCAGTTGAGCTTTCAGATGAGACTGAGTTCCACCTGCAGCTTGGCTACAGTCTCAAGAGCCAGAGGACCCAGCTAAGACACGGCCAGATTCCTGACCTACAAGACGGTGAGACAATTTTTGTTGCTTTAAGCCACTATGTTCCGGGGTAACTTATGCAGGAATAGATAACTAAAATGCCTGCATTAGATCTCCTGGTTTAATTCTTGCTGGGATGAAGAAAACACCAATACACATAATAGACTTTATTTTAGGAGATTTGTACTTAAAGGCAGAGGTTTTAAAAATATTCTTATCCTACAGCATTTCATATTGTATTTATATATTTTTCAAATAAAAGGCTAACAAATTTTTTCAAAATTAGCGGTGACATTGGGCAATGGCCTAGTCTTAACGTTACTAATTATGTGTATGTATCACAGATTTATCTTCTTCTGGAAATGCTTATACATTTGATAGCTCTGTGGATATAAGCAGTAACCCTGATGGCAGCCTCACCTGTTCAAGGTGGCACAGGAGAGCTCCTTGGCACACAGCTCCTCATAGTTATACTTGGCAGTGTTCTGGTTGTAGTCTCCAAATTTGGTCTGGGCCAGGAGGGCACTGAGTTCCACTGCCTGCTCTGGGGAGCACAAGAGGTGGCCTGCCAAGAGGGCCTCCTTGATGTGCAAGAAAAAGATATGCCTGCAAAGCAAGGTGAGAATGAGCTTATGCTTGCGGATAACCTGACATCAAACTCAACCTGCTTAACAATTTCACAGTCACTTTTAAGGAGAGCAATTTTAAAAGTCACACTGAAAATGCTTAATATTAAAGAACTCTTCTAAAAAATCATCAGTATTAAGACAAAATCAAAGTTAAGAACTGAGTTCCTGTGGAATAAAAGTTGTGACCCACACAAAATAAACTTACTCAAGACAAGTTTGTAATATTAAGGCTATAAAACATAAAATAATTATACATAAGCTTCTGCATTATAATTTTTTTTTTTTGAGACAGGGTCTCACTTTGTCATCCAGGCTGGAGCTCAGCTCACTGCAGCCGCCGCCTCCCAGATTCAAGAGATTCTCCTGCCTCAGCCTCCTGAGTAGCTGGGATTATAGGCACGTGCCACCACACCTGGCTAATCTTTGTATTTTTAGTAGAGACGGGGTTTCACCATGTTGGTCAGGGTGGTCTTCAACTCCTGACCTCGTGATCCACCCACCCCAGCCTCCCAGAGTGCTGAGATTATAGGAGTGAGCCACAATGCCTGGCCTTATAATGTTTTAAAAGAAATTATTTTAATCAGAAAAATTGTATCTTGACATGGATTCTGATAGAATCTTAAGGAACTCTCTATATAAAGACAAAATTCTCGGCTTTATTCAAATGATATCCCAATCTCTAGTCTCAGTGCCAGCTTTTCTCTTAAGAATCACATGAAAAATGTCCAATCTCCTATAGGCTTTACCACCTGGATGTTCTTCAGTACCTCAGTTTTGGCTCATTTGAAATTAAACTCCATATATTCTTCCCCAAGCCCTTTTTCTCCCAATGGAGACTATAGACTGACTTTTGACTCTGTCCTATTTCACTTGACTTTCTTGTCTCTGAAAACTATTTAAATCTAGTTCTGTCTTCCCATTTGTACACTACTTGAAGCAAGAATGTACACTATTCTCTGAGCTGCTCTCCTCCTCCAGACTCCATGCCAGCAGTCCACCTTCCATGCTGCTTGCTTCTAGCATAAACTTGTCATTTCTCTGCTCAGAATCCTTCAAGGGATCTATATGGCTTGCCAAGGGAGCACACTGTCAGTGTGGATCGGAGGAGTCTCCACCATCTGGCCCCAGCTTTCCAGCCACGTCTGCTGTCATTCCCTGCAGCTGCTATGCCCCAGGAGAGGGAACAATTCCTCTCTCTGGAAAATCCAGGAAGCAGGTTCATGCCACAGTGTCTCTGGTCTTGCTGCCCGCTCTGTCCTGATGGCCATTCTTTCTCTCCTTCTGCTTGGATACCCTTTGGTCTATATCACATGCAAATCCCCTATTCCTCTACTACAGTATTTGACATAATGTGCATATTATATATGACTTATTAAGTGCCTCAAATATCAGAGAGCTCCAAAAATGTACATAAAACTACATACAATCTGTGAATAGTGTACATTCCAACCTTAGTTTCAACCTGCTTGAGCCTGTCCTAGTTGTATACAATACTATATTCTACATTTACTGAAAGGTATGTTACACTTAAAAACTTCTGTAAAATTCAGATACAGTCACACTGCCCAAAACTCCGAAGAGCATCTGAACCTGTGCACAGATTGGCCTCAGTTTTAACATGTGTGTCTCGTGAATGCGAAGTTTTAACCTTCCTTTGATGACTTGTGATAACCTCTCAAACATGCAATTGCCACAATATTCCTCCCATTAACACAGGAGTTATGACTTTGGCCAGGTGCGACGTCCTCAACACCGCTTCTGTTTAATAATAAATCTGTGTCTGACATTCCAGGTAGAGGAACATGAACAAGGTAAGAATTGGCTAAGGAGGAGACAGTGAGGCTATAAATCTAAGGAAGTGCCATACTGAGAGTCTAAAATGTCCGCTGACAAGAGCCATTAATCTTATTTTCACTAATAAGTGTTTAAATTCAATGTTTTGTGCATTCTATAATAATAAAGAAATATTTAAAATGATGAAACTCTGCCAAATACTGCAGTTTTCCCTTTTTTCAAAGCCCCTGTAAAGAAACCACAGTAAGAATGTGTAATAGCCTGAAAGAAGATAAACACGGTTTTTATTAACCCAAACATCTGCTAATCTTTAAAGTATTTCTGACATACTGCTAACCTGAGAAGGGAGCCCCCGCTGGGGCAAAGAAATCACCATGAAAATAATTTGCTGTAAAATAGCTACCTGAGGACTGTGATCTAGCCTTCTCAGCAAGCCATGGTGTAACGGCACTGCTGCAGGCCTCAAAAGGCTTCTTAGATGACCATTTGATAAACTTCATCTTGGTGAAGGTAGCCATCTCTGTATTCAACCGGGGTGAGGAGGTACTGTTAGGAAACTAAAATCTGCATCTCTGCTTACATTAAAGAAGAAATTGTTCTGAAAGACTTTAAGAATATTGCCACAACAAACTGAGTATTCTTAGTTTAATTACTGCTTATGTATAAGTGGCTTTGAACTTATTTTCCAAGTCTAAAGTTAGAGACTAGTTCCTGCTTTATTAAAGAGTAAGTATAGCCTGCAAAAGAAGAGTTTTGAATCAATTCCATATCTTTTTCCACCCTACCCATGCCTACGCTTCTGGAGAGACAGCAGCCAAAATCAAAGGCAAAGAAGCAGTAACAAAATGTAAACAGGTGGCAGACAGCCTGAGAGTACCACTGATCCTTCTCAGCATATGGGCTAGAGTTTAAGAAAAGGTCGGGCAAGGGGGATGATTGACCTTTTTGACATACTCTACATTCTGGCCTGGACTGCAGAGGGTGCCTGGTAAACATGAAAAATCCTTCTCTTTACTGTCAACATCAGTTTTCTGACAGGCCCTTCCTGCACTTTGCAGTTTCATGGCTAGAAAGCAATCTTTTCATTTCAAGTCAATAAATATTTGTCTTGCATTGCCTCTGTGCCCAGCCCTAAGCTGGGGTTATAGGGTAAACATGTCTGAGAGAGCCTTTTTAGATGGACTTACAGCCTTTTAGAACAAAGGAACACATCCAGTCAACGTAACTCCAGCCACAGTGTGGCTTTTGGGTGACAAGTTTCTTCTGGAGAACAGTACAACGGGGCACTGGCAGCAAAGGTCGGCACTCTAACAGGTTCTTTCCAAGACAGAGGATAGCAGAGCTCAGAGACACGTTTCCAACAAGAACTTCAATGATGGCTCAATATTTGTGTGTGGTTTTGAATCAAGTATTTTCTCCTCTAGCCATCTGGATTATAACTATCTGGCTCCTCGGTTTTGCCTCTCCTTTTTTTTTGTAAAGTAGGTGAAAGGTTACCAATAATATCAAAAGAAGCAGATGCGGTCAGAGAAGTCATGCCTGCCGTGAATTCTTCTGCACTAAAGATCAATTCATTATAGACTACATCCTAGAATCAACAACCAAAAGAAAGTCTTTGGAAAAAAACAATTTTCTTTGTCATAAGCAAATGTCCGTGAATATGTTCTATAGGCATAAATAAGCTCAAACTGCACGTTTTAAACATTCTTTGGGTTACACCTTCTAATTCATGATTCTTCTTTGTTACCCAGTTACTAAGAAAACTGATATTTTCAATACATGGATCACATTTTGGGGCCCAAGATGTAACATTCTGGCTAACTCATGTCCTAGCACCATGGGCACAAATGAATTCACACTTACTGAGCATTATGGAAGATTTAAAAAAAAATAAAGTGAATATAAAGATATGCCAAATTTTAATTTTTAAAATGAATCATATTCTTAGTATATTTTTTTCTTTCAAAGTACTTTAAATTTCTTCTCTTTTAAAAATTAACTCCTTACAGTGTTAAGGAATGAAGTTAGATCATTTATCTTTTAAGAGTTGTAATCAGAGAACTTTCCTCTAAACACTGGCTTGTCTCATAAAGCAACCATCTGGGAATCAAAGCAGACCTTTCTGCAAACCAGTTGGAAGTTGTTGATCTGCTCATCACAGAGGGTTCCTCTCAGTTACTGCCCTCCAGTGACCTCACCAGTTATACCATTTTGAAGAGCTTTTAATGACAAATGTAAAATAACTATATCCAGATCCATTACTAAACTCAAAATTTAAGAACTAACCTCATCTTTAAAACAGCTAAGTAGCTATTTTTTCAAACTCTCAATAACCGATAATTGAACTGTATTTCTCCTGGAAAGCCGTGACTGACTCTAGCCATAGTAAGTAATGGCTGGCTCCGCTCTCACCTGGTCAGACCACACTGTGATCATCAGTAAGCCCGCTTCAGTCCAAGGAGTCACTTAGCCACAGTTTTATTTTAAATCAAACTTTGACTGCAAAGTTATATTTAAAAACTATCAAATCAAAACAGGATTGCTATGAGAGTTTTCTGTTTTGTATCTTTAATTCCAGTAAAACAAAAATCAGTTCAAGATGGATCATGGGGCTAAATGTAAAAGCAAAAATTCTAACAGTTTAACAACTAAACGTCAGAGTTATTTTCATGACGTCCAGGTAGCAAAGGGTTCTCAGGACACAGCAAAAAACCACAGAAGAAGAAAACGGATAAATGAGGCTTCACCAAAATTAAAAACTTCTACTCATAAGAGGCATCAGAAAAACAGGTAAGCCACCAGAGGGAATATATTTACAAAACATATATCTGACAAAGGACTGGTATCTAGGGTGTATAAAGAATTTGTACAACTCAAAAATAAAGGCAAACAACAAAAATGAGTAAATGACTTGAATAGCTACTTTGAAAAAGATACATGAAAGGCCAATAAACACATGAACAGGTGTTTAACATTATTAACTGTCAGAGAAATGCAAATTAAAACCACAACATTTGACCACTACACACCCACCAGAAAGTTGGCAGCGATGTGGAGGAACTAGCTTCTTACATTCTTGCTGGGAGTATGGAATAGCACAATTGCCAAATAGCTTTGGGAAAAGGTCTGGCAGTTAGTTATAAAATGTAATAATTACTTACTCTATGACCCAGCTATTCCATT